CCAGGCCCTTTTGGTACAAGCACATGAAGTATCCAAGTGCTCTATGACATTTCTTATTTCTGATGGAGGTACAGAACCAGACACTGACCTTCAAGGGGGGCAGTGCAAGGGGGAGATGACGGTGATAATGGAGAGAAGGAGGGAGGGAGAGAGAAGAAGAGGGAGAGTGTCAGTGCTGTAGGAAGTCCTGCCAGATCAGATAGCACCAGCTCTCTCCCTTCACACACCCTCACGTTGCTCCTGCCTTCGAGGAGAGAGATCCTTATCCCCCAGATGTGGTGCATTTCTCAGCGGTCAGCTCAACATCTGTAGCGGGGAAGTTCCGGGAAGGTGAGAGGCCAAGGGGACTAGGCTCCATCTAAGGATGGGGGACTGAGTGTGTGGCCAGCAGGGGGTGGGAAAACGGGAAGATGCTTCCAGGCTGGGCCTTGGAGGGACGGTTGTTGTGGTATGCGTTTGGAACCATGGCAGAAAGGGGGTACAGGGTGGATGCTGGGGAAGAATTTCCTGTAGGGCAGGAAGATTCCAAGCACAAGAAGAATTTGGGTATGAAGAGAAGAGAAGTTACAGCTCCACTCTCCACCTTTGTGGACAAGGCTGCACAAAATGATCTGGTGAGGATCTGCCCTCTCCTTCCGCTTCCCCTTTCTGCCCTCCATGGTGGTGACTGAGCCCTCGTTTGTTGAGTTAGACTCTGAGATGTCTGCCCTGACATCATCCACGGTAACAGCAAGTGATACAAAGTACTTTCACAATCCTCATTACATTGAATTTTTTAGGTAGGAATCTTCAGATGACAAAATGGTGGACAATCACACAATACTGGGAATCATGGACAAGTCAAGTTGACAGACATTGTTTGGGGGGACACAATTCAATCCATGACAGGCCCAGAGAGTGATGTGACCTGCTTAAGGGAGGTGGCTGGGGGCAGAGGTGGGATATTGTAGACAGGAATTAGTGCTTGACCTAGATCTGAATTAATTGCTGGTCCAGGCTCTTCCTCACTTCTGCTGACTGACCATCCTTTGTTCTCCGCAGCCCCCCTTCCCACTCCCTATAATTCCTTGCCTATAAAACAGGGCTAATCACAGCTCTCCCTCCCACCCCTCCTTCCCCATTGCTCTCTCCCATCACCGACATCGGGCTAAGTCTTCAAGGAGATGATGGTCCAGGCAAGGTTTGGGTGCTGGTGGTGGGTCAAGTGTGAGGTCCAAATCTCATTAAAGACTTCTTCAGAGGTGTGGGGGCAACTCCTCTTCTCTCTCTCACACTCTTCTGGGTCTTGGCTTCTTTTCCTGTGAAACGGGCAGGGGGCCTCTCAGGCTTAGGGACGGGGGAGAGAATAGGGAAGCATTATGAAGGGGTTTCCATTTCTAGAAACAACCAACAGAGAAAAACCACTAAAATTTCTGGATAGAATTTAGAAGTCTCTTTGGAAGCATCCAACTGCTGAAAAGGCAATAAGGAATGAATAGGCCACACTCTGAAGTGGAGGCCAAGTCCAGGAGGTGAGCAGGGCACCAGGGCCCCAAGGACACCAGCCAAACCAAGGCACCTGACCTTCAGCTTTGATGGTTGTCAGACAGCAGTGACCCAGGGCTCACCTGAGGAGGGGAGACAAGTGAGGGACCCTCCGTAATGCTGGGACCCCAAAGGGCTACACATTTAAGCTAAAAGCTAGAGCAAACCCCACCCCACCCCCATGAGACTGCAAGGAAAGTTGCCTTGGCACTGAACAGAGTAGGGGAGGAAAGAAAACAGCCCCTAAGGAACCCTAGACACACACTGGCCCAGATTCATTTGTATCACTTGGCCGGACAAGGGAGGGCAACAAACTCAAGCCCAAACTTCTGGAAGTGCCCTAAGAGGAACACTCCTTCATGACTTCACCCTATGCCTCAAAGAAATCCCAGGGAAGGGAACCATTCATAGCCAAAAGAAGATGACTAAGCACTGAAGAAGTGATCTAGGGATTAGGCGTGGAGGATGTCTCATCTGTAAGTGAGAGGGCTCAGCCAGGTGTTCCCGAAGGTCCCCTCTGGCAAAAGAATTCTCTGGAGAGCCAGCTCAGTGAGGGTAGAGTGTGTCCCCACTTTGTATGCTGGGGGTGCCTCCTCAGAGTGAAGAGCTAGAAGGATGGATGTATGGACCAGCCCAATCTATGTCCTCCAAATCACGTTGGAAGGAAATGGGCAGGAGGCTGCACCCAGCTATGGACTCTGGGGGAGGGCACAGGGGTAGTGTCTGAGGCCCCAGACTTTGATGTGTTCATGAACAGGGGGGCAGGTGGGGCTGTAATAGAGGCTTCAGAAGGAGGCAGGGAGTCCTTAGGGCATTCCCAACACTGACCTAGTTCAGCACCCCATAATTACTTCCTTTCTCTCTTGGGAGGCTACAAATAGGGATGCCCAGTCTCTGGGCTCCTACAGCTGAAACGTCAACCCAGTGGTGAGTGCCAGCTGCTTGGGCCCTGCCCTGGGTAGGGTGTTGGGGAAACTCAGGGCCCCAATAGATGCCTTTCTCCTGGCTCAAGTTCTGGGCCCCCAAGAACTGTCTTTCTCTGGGCTCAAGGTCTGGGCCCTCAAAAGCTGTCTTTCTCTGGGCTCAAGGTCTGGGCCTCCAATGGCCTGCTTATGTCTTGGTTCAAGGTCAGGGCCCCCAATAGCCTGCCTGTCTCCTGGCTCAAGGTCAGGGACCCCACTAGCTTGCCTGTCTCCTGGCTCAAGGTCTGGGCCCCCAAGAGCCTGCCTGTCTCCTGGCTCATGGTAGGGCCACACTAGCCTGCTTGTCTCCTGGCTTAGGGTCAGGGCCCCAATAGCCTGCCTGTCTCCTGGCTCAGGGTCAGGGCCCCCACTAGCCTGCCTGTTTCCTGGCTCAGGGTCAGGGCCCCACTAGCCTGCCTGTCTCCTGGCTCAGGGTCAGGGCCCCCAATAGCCTATCTGCCTCCTGGCTCAATGTCTGGGCCCCAATAGCCTGCCTGTCTCCTGGCTCAAGGTCAGGGCCCCCACTAGCCTGCCTGTCTCCTGGCTCAGGGTCAG